ACCTTTTGCGAAGATAATATTCTCTTGCAAGTCGTCTGTCTTGATAGCAAACGAGTTTGAATTGATGGTGAAAGTGTTCGAACTGTCGCCAATAATTTGGTTGATATACCCACTCTCCGTGTTGAATATTGCAGATATATTCTTTTCTATCACAACAACATTAATTCCAGTGACATCGGATATTTCAATGTCATGGTCTATCCGCATGTTGTATAAGAGAGTTGTGTGACTCATTGACACTTTTTTGTGTTGAAAAACAATGAAACTACCCACAACGGGGCAAGCTGGTGAGTTGAACGTGTTGTATTGGTTTGATGTTGTCAAAGTGGTTCCATTCATGTAACAGTAAATGTTGTTGTCTTTCACGTCTTTGCAGTACCGAATATATTTATAATCCGTGCCACTGACAATAAAAGTGTTTGAAGGAACGGTTACACTTGTCAATGTAGAGGGATACACAAACAAATCAACACAGTCAGGCGTTTCTCCTTCGAATGTTATTGGGTTTGAAAAGTCAAAAGAAGGCGTGAAACTACCAGAACTCTTTTTGGTTACAACAAGAGGGATGTATTGTCTCATTTTTGAATTCGTCATTTTGATATTATTCAATGTCACATGTTTATTAATTGGAGTGCTAATTAATGACATTTCATTCATTACCAAAGACGAACACTCAAGAGTTTCATTAACAACAAGATCATTTGTTAGTGTTAAATCACATGTTGTAAAAGTCATTTTACTTGAGTTACTCAGCTTAAAACTTCCCTCTTTAATTATTAAAGATTTGAACATCCCAACAGCAGCATACTCTCTATCGAGAATAAGTGTGAGGTATTGCGAAAATTCGTTCATCAAACAGTCATCTTGAATGAATTTTGTGTCAGATAGTAATTCACAATTGCATCCCACATCAATGGTTTTTACATACCGATATTTTGTGGTGCCACTGTATAAATCTTGGCAAACACCAAACACTGTCGAATTCATTTTTAAATCTCCAACCAAAAATACACTTCTGTCATTCAATCCATTATAACTGGAGTAGTTCACAGACTGTACGATACTCTCGCCATTCATAACAACAACTCCAAATTGCTTTGAAACAAGTGTGTTGACAGTGGCGCTGCCATACACATATGCGTTATACATCTCAAATGACTTGAAGGTCATTGCTGCTCCGCAGTCCAATAAAACATAGTCACCATCGTTGGCATAATTTCTATCAAATGTGATTGCATCGACAACATTTGTATTATGGTTGACATTAACCATTTTAACAACAGAATATTGGCCCGAAGTGCGAATTGAATACCTGTTTGTATAATAAAAATTGTTCACTATCATTTGAGTTACTTGGGCGGGTATAATTGATGCCGTGGTAAATTTCAAATACTTAATTGTGTTTTGTCCATTTGGGAATGGTTTCACGGTTATGTTACCTTCTATTTTCAACGTCTTAACTGCAATGTTGTCATCCACAAAGTTAAATGAAGAATCTTTGATTTCAATTGTGTCGAGATTGACATTATTTTCACAATAAAAATAGAGTGTTCTGGTAACTTGTAAAGTTTGGATATTCCACACAACGTTTCTAGAGTAAATATCTTGGTACGAAGTCCCACTGTCTTGGCGCAAAGTAGTAACATTAAAAATGTAAGGCCCATAAAAGTAATTATCTCCTTCATGAAGAGAAATGGAATTCATTGTAGCAGTTGTTATGGCTAAACCAGTATCTTTTCCGCTCACTGACGAACTGAGCTCGGAAATAGAAAATGAAGGAATGTCATTCATGTATGAACCAAAACACCCATACCACCTCTTTAAATTTTGGGTTGTGATTTTGTAGGTTTTAACGTTGGTTGTGTCAGCGTAGGCTGAGGGATAAGAAGTCCGTGTATCAGAAAACAAATAAAAAATTCCGTTCCTCACCTTACCCAAACTTGATTCAAATAAAGTTAATCGCATTTGATAATTAAGTGTGACATACCCACCAACAGAATCAAAAGTTAAATAAATGTATGCTGGTTGGGCAAACGGGAGGGTGTTAAGGCAGTTGACGAAAAATGTTGTGGGGTAACTTGAACGCTCGTAAACAAAAGTGTATATTACTGTTTCAGTTAATAAAGTTGTCATTTTGTCGTATTTTCCACCATCGATCAGGACTGTTTGTATGTATTTTGTATTTCGAAAAATATAAGTAGTTTTGAAATTGAGAGCTGTGTACATGTTAATGTACATCCGCCATATAGATACACGACATCCCTTTTCAATTGCTATGTTTGAAGTAACGCTATCAAAATTTAGTTGTGAAGAGGTGTAAAAATTATTGCCAATTGTCAGAACATTATCAGTTGAAGTGTAATTAAGTGAGTCGTTGCACAATGTCTTACTGGCTGTGAATTGATTTGTTGCTGAATCGAAACAGTAATAGGAATCCGCATTCAAAAACAAAGACAGAACAAAAAGCACAACCAAGCACATCGACCAGAGTTTTGAATTAATTGATCATATTCCAAATTAAAAATGTGAAAGGGAAACAAAAAAACTCTTGATGGGACCAAAGTATTTTTGGAAAAAGATCTTTTCATTGAAGAAAAATATCTTACTTTATACTAGTTTCAAAACCATAATTTTATTAGTTACAAAAAGGCTTTTCTGTTTTGGAATATTTTTGGTGTTTTCGATTACATCATTATTTTAAAATATATTATAATAAATATTTCTATTAAAAAATATAAACAGAGTGGAATGTTGGGAAAATATCAGTGTTTTGTTTATGTTATTTTTGGAAATTGTATTGTTCCAAATAATTCGATTGTTTTCATTGTTTCATTTTGTAGTTCTTAAAGTTTCTATAAACTATTATAATAGTTGTTTAGTATAATAATTTATATTTTTTTTCATTGTTATAATAAATTAAATTATTATATACTATAATAAAAAATATTGTAAAAAATAATAACATTTGGTGGTTAAAATAAAAGAAATGGAAAACGTTTTTTAATGGAATTTTTCATCTTAAAAAAATATTAAGATTGGAAAAAGTTTGTTTATTTTTTCTCAATTACAAAATAATACAGATAGTAGAAAAATAGGGTGTCAGGAATAAGTTGGGTGTCAAATAAATTAGGGATTAGTTAATGTAAAATAATGGGTTTTTTTTATTTTCCCCCCCCAAAAAAATATGAAAAACCATTAAATAACTCAAAATCAATCTGACACCCAATTTATTCTTGACACCCAAATTTTCTACTATCTGTACGTTTTTTAACTTGTTTACATTGAAATCAAAATTAACCAAATAAATCAAATAAATTAAGAATTATTTATTTGAACTTTTGATTATTAATTGATTATTGTTTATTCATTTAATCATGATTGTTTTTGGTTTTTTTTAATATTTTTTTTAAAGTAATAATTTTTAGTTTCACAATTTCATCATTTTTTTGAGTTTTTGCACAAATTTCTGTTTTTTAAAACAAAAACACATCGATTTTTTGTAGAATAGATAACTTGTTAGACAGACTTTAGTTAAATCCAATTATGATTTAATTTAATCAAGAATTAAAAAAAATGTAGTTTTAAGTTAATTATGAAATGAAAATATTAAAGTTCATAAACAAATACAATTAAAGATGTCTTATCAATGAAACAACAGTAAAGAATCAAACAATCAATTTTTGGGTTGAAGCACCACAAAATTGCACGCCAAGTTCTTGGACACCTTCATCATTGCCCCACAGTTGTTGAATTGGTTGCAGTAATTCGGCGCGCTGAACAGTGTCAAGACTTTGTTGTTGAACGCAAATTCAAATCCCTCTTCAACAACTTGGTGACCTCGACATATCAGCTGTATGTTGTTTTTCGTCATAAAATTCTCAACTACATCCTCTCCATATGTAAACGAAGCACCCCTTGTATTTTCTTTCCATCCCATGTGTTCTTGAGACGGATCTGCCCACAGCAAATCACACAAAAGTCCCTCCTCTGCAACATCCGTTGGGCGCGCGACTTGTGTCAACAACGATACATCAGACAAATATTTTGAGATTCCGCCATGAACACACAATATCGATGAATCAATCAACGCAGCAACAGGAAGGTACCCAAATACCCAACAAAACTTGCGCCACACATCTACATTGAATCGCTGAACACCTATTTTTTGAATAACTGTTGTTGTTGCCATTTCAAAAAATATAAAAAACAAACACTCGTCATAAAAGCCGTAATCACGATTGATATTACCCACCTCGTGGTTTCCTCTCAATAAGAAGAACCTGTCAGGGAACTTTATTTTGAGACAGAATATGAGGACGACGATATCGATTGATCTTGGTCCACGATCAACAAAATCACCTAAAAAAAGGAACTTTTCGTTGTTAATGTCTGCCTCATCAAAGTACCTCAAAAGGTCCGAGTATTGTCCGTGGAGATCGCCAATGATATTGAGTGGTGCTTTGAGTTGAAGGAGACTTGGATCACGTGAAAGAACGCGTGTTGTTGTGTCGCACAACATCATTATTTCGTCGTCTGTGATGATCTCCTTTCTTGGAGGAAAAAGGTTTCTGTCCTGCAACAGTTTTGCAACAAT